TGCTGACTGAAGACACCCCTCACGGGGTCATACCACACAGGAGGCCGGGCCCTCTAAGGCAGAGCCCCTTCCTCACAGCCGGCTGCTGCCCAGGCAGCTTTAGCTGCCTCTCAAGTCAGCACCTAGCTGGCAGCTGCGCACCTACACACACACTCACACACACCCACAGCCCTCAGCGAGGGAGAGTGGTTTTTATAAGGCTGAACAACCTGCCAAGCCCCAGGAAACTCCCTTAGAAAGCACACACACTCCCTTCTCTATTGTTTGGTTTTGGTACAGTGAGCACATATTGCTTAAGTAATTAAAAAAAAATTTTTTTTTTTTTAACACGCACAAAACATATAGCCCACCTGGTTCAGTACACATGGCTCAAGCTCACTCTCAGCCCAGAGGCAAGAAGAGGTTCTGCAGGTCTAGGTAGAAGGAAGGGGAAAAAAAAAAAAAACACTCCAAAGAGAATGGCCCCTTGCCCACTCTGGGGGAAGAAGCCTGCAGCTCATGTTCTTGTTTCTTGGGAGCTGCCCAGAGATTCGGGTCCTAGTGAGGTCAGGGCCCTGGACGGGGACAGTCAACTTTCCTGCTATTGCGTCGCCCCTGGCTTCCCTTGCACCTCACCCCTGGAACTGCTTCATGCAAAGGAGAACCAAACCTCTCCCATAGCTAGGACTCTGGGCCCCGCTGCCATTGTCCGAAGCCACCAGAACACATTCGAAAGGTGCCCTCTACTGGCAGCTGGTGCCTTCGGAACTACCCGGGACAAAACTCCGATCAGAGTCCACGGCTGCCCTCTGGTGGCAGCGAGGGGAATCGAACTGAGGGTCTCAGACCCCTGCCCTCTGGACGGGGCCTCTCTCAATTCATAATTTTCTTTTTAGGGCAAGGCCCGTAGGGGAAAAATGAATGGCCCTCAAACCTACTAAGTCTAAAATACTTAGGCCCAGGCTTAACCAAAGCCCAGAATAAAAGAAGAGCTGTCGGAGGTCAAGCAACCCCTGCACCCCCATTTTGCACAGTGGAGAACACCACACCCTTTAAATTCTGTCAAATCCTCACACTGAGGGACCAGGTTGGACTCTGGGAGTAGGTACTGCTTGTGGCCTTGGGAGTGGGGCACCCCCAGTCCACCCAGGGCCCACATGGGGATGAGTGCCAGCTCTTAGATTCTGCCCAGAAGCAGGTCCCACCATCTCCCCCTGCTCCTCAGGCCCCGAGGGAAGTCTTCTAAGGCCGAGAAGCTCCCTGGTCCCTGAGAGCCCACCGTATCCCAGCAGCACCCCCACCTCCCTGCCCCCCTTCCCTCCCTAGCACCTAGCAATGTCTGAGGGCTACATTCAGCTCCTTGACTGCTCTGTGCTGGAATGGAAGCTCCCGAAGGAGGGGAGCTCATCCTGTTCCCAGGTTTAACCCCATGAGTCAGGTGGGGTGCCTGGTGCACGGAGGGCTCTCAGAGGCTACCTGTGAAAGGAATGCTTGGGCTATTCTCTGGGGTGTTTTTCCTTAGCCCCTCCCCCTTACTGGGCCGTGACCTCTCTTTACGTGGGGAAGGGTTTTATCACCTTCCCAAACACCCCAAGAGCCCCAGGTGAAGTGGGGGGAATTTACCAACAGGAAATGGCCCTGGAGCCCCTCTAAAGACTTTTAAGAGCTGCCCTGGAGGAGAAGACCTAATGTCAGACATCGGGGTCCCAATGTACCTCCGAACCTCTGCCTCTCACACCTTAGGCTAAAGCAGTGGTTCTCAACTGGGGGTGATTTTGCCCTCCACCACCCAAGACATTTGTCAACTTCTAGACATACTTTTGGTTGTCACACTTGGGGCAGGAAGAGCTACTGGCATCTAGTGGGCCGAGGCCAGGGATGTCGCTAAAGCCTACAACATACTGGTATCTGGCTCACAATGTTAATAGGTCAGTACCTGAGAAACCCTGGATTGAGGCGACTTTTTTTTTTTTAACTTCCTAACAACAACAAATATATATATAAAAAACCATTGGAACTGGCGATTCACCTAGGAAAATGGAACTCTGACCTGAAGACCATAATGAGTAATTATGAAAGATCGTACCACTGTGGGTGGGGGGTAGGCAAGGCCCGGGACTGTGGGGGGACAGACCCTGCTCAGCACCAGGCTTGCTGGCTCTGGGCAAGTTACTTCTCTCCTTTCCTCAGTAAGTGGGGACATTATTAATTCTCCTTCATAGGATTCTGCCTGGCATGCAGTAAGTATTCAACAAGTATTAGCTACTGTTAAGAGAAAAGGGGGATAGAAATTCTTTAAAGTCCAGCCAAGCACATGGGGCCACAATCCCTGCTCTAAAAACAGCTGTCACATGGATGAAGGGGCTGAGTTGTTGCCACGTGTCCCGGGGACTGCTGCTCAACACTCAAGCTTTCAAATGTTTGGGCTGTTTGCTTGGAAAGAAATGATTCAGTTTCCATTGATCTTTATTTGGGAGGCACAGGGGCGCTGGGGGAGAGGGAGGAGAAGAGTCAGCAGCCTGTCTTTCAGGACTAAAATCTGGGCTTCAGAAGGAAAAGAGGGCACAGGGTGGGGAGCAGAGCGACAGGAACAGAACGGTAACTGGAATTACTTGGGCTCTCCTGGAGGGGTGAGGGTTGGTTAATGCCCTGTCCACTGCTGGTGGCACCACGCACGCACATGCACGCACACCCGCACATGCAGAGCCAGAGTATGCAGAACGCAGACAGGGAGGAAGAGGCCCACTCGGGGAGGGGTGGGACCAGCTTCAGGAAGAGGAGCCACCTGCTGAGAATGGTGACTCAGGGTCCCAGAGGAGCAGAGAGAGCCCTGAGTCAGCATAGCCAGGATCAGCCCAACCATCACCAGGGCCCTGTCCTTCCCCCACACCCCCCACCACAAAACTGGAAACTACATGGGTTTCGAGGCTACTTGCATCCGAAGCTGGAATCCCAGTGCGTGAGGTGGGGCAAGTTACTCAACCTTGTTGAGGCTCTGTCCCCTCTTGAGTGACCTGGGGTCACCTGACTTCCTTCACGGGACGCTGTCCACTGAGCACATGCACACAGCAGGTGTTTGATAACTGCTGGCTCTCTCCGTCCTTCCCTCCTGGCTGTCCTTGACTGTCACCTTAACCTTGTCACACCTGGAACACCTGTGGTATGGGGAAGGGGAGCGGGCAGCCCTGAGGGGACCGCAGTGGAGCGGGGGTTCACAGCAACACCCCCTGTGCTCTGAGCTCAGTACTCAAGGTGCTTTTCATTCCTGCCTCTCCTTGGATCCTCACCGCAACCCCCCTCCCCCCAGTGTAGGACAAACAGAAGCCCCCTGTTCGAGGAAGGAAGCGGAGATGGGGGTTGGGGGGAAGAAGAGGAACTTGCCCAGGGCTGCTGGGTGGCCTCCCACTCCTGGGCCCTGCCTTGGCGACCTCCAGATGGCCAGGGCGCCCCCTCCAAACTCTTCCAACTGGAAGCTGAGGCCACACCTACCAAGCCAGCGTGCACTTGGAGCAATCACACAGGAGGTGGGCGCACCTGGCGGCAGCAGCAGGGGCTCGTTACCCCTGCAGTTTCTGCTGTGGGCAGGGCAGCCTAATGGGTAGAAGCGTCAGCTGGGTCCTGCATGTGGCGTCCTGGCTCTGCCCAGGGCAGGTCACTTATGTTCTCTGTGTCCCCACGTCCCCCCGTAGAACGGGGATGCAACAGCCCATACCACAGAGGGCTGTTGGGAGGACCAAATACACACGGGGCGAAGTGCTTAGCAAGGGCCTCCCGCAGACTCAGCCTGTATTCAGACAATGAATATCTGTTAAATGCAAGAACGAAGGGGACACTGGAATCCCAAAGGTCTACTCCCAGGGTGTGCCATACAGAAGAGCACCTCTACCCTTCGTGCCTACAGGCGGCCTTGGGAGGGAGGGCCTCTTAAACACGCAGCAGGCATCAGTCAGCACACTTTTCTGTAAAGGGCCAGGGAGTAAATATTTTTGGATCTGCTATCTATTCCACTCTGGGTGAGAGACAGTAGGTCCACATTTCGTGTGGCTATGTTCCAATAAAACTTTATTTGTAAAAACAGGCGGCGGCAGCCCCGTGCTGCAAAGGTTCCGCCGAGGGGGCATCTCTTCACATCCCCCCTCAGCCCCGAGAGCCGCACCTGCGGACCAAAGGGTGCCCCGGGGTGGGGGCAGGGGCAGGGGCCGGGGCTGCAGCTAGGGAGAAGTAGCCAGGTGGCAGTTGCCTGGGCAGCAAAAACAGGAACCGGCCCTCCGGGCCGCTGTATCTCTGAAACTGAAGCTCAGCAACCACAAAAGGAAAGAAGAGCACAAGCGGTGGAGGTAGAGCAGAGGCGGCATGCTTCCCAGGGTCCCTGTGATGAGCTCCGGTCCCCAACCCCCCCAGCCACACGGTGGGCTGAGCCCAGGGCTCTCCGGGCTTCCTGCTCCACACGTCCCCAACGGGGACACCCCTGCTTCCCTGGCCTGTCGCAAGAAACATTTAAACAACAAAAACAAAAGGTGGGAAGTTCAAGCTTGGGCCAGCAGCTTACCCAGCTGGGGACTGTCATGAAAAATAATACAAATAAATGATAATAATGCTTCTGACTTTCCAAGCAGCTGGGATGGATCAGGAGCTCTGGGAGGTATTCTCCCCCGAGAGCAGGGTGACAGCCTGCCTCCTGGTAGGGACCCTTCTACCCTGTTCTTACCATTCAGAAGACAGGGACTCGAGCAGTATCCCCTTGTCTGACGGTGAGGGTAGAGCGGAGGCAGAGAAGGGGCACACAGGCCTCCTCCAGGCCAGGGGTCCAGCTGGGGCAGGACTGCTCCCCTCCCCAGGTGTGTGCCTCTGCCTACCTCAGCCTGACAAGTTGGGAACACATCAGCTCCCACCGATCCTCTTGAGAGAGCACACACCAGCACACACCCGGATCAGAGAGGCCAGACTTAACGTGACGAGCGTCAGGAGCACCCCCGGCCCAGAGAGAAACGTCCACTCCCACTCAGCTGCCAGCGACCTACCCCTTCTTCAGGTTTGTCACATAAGCGCTCTGGAGGGCAGCTTCCAGGAAGTAGGTGAGCTCATAGTCAACCGGGTGAGAGCCTTTCAGGTGCCGCGCCGTGGTGTTATTTGTGATCTGGGAAGGGGAACACAGAGAGAGCCACTGTCTCAGACTTCTGAGTCAGAGGGGATGGGGCGAGAGTTAGCCCCGGCAGATCCGGTGGCCCCATCACCGGCGCCCGTCCCTAGCTGCCTCAGAGGCATGCCCCTCTCAGACCAAACCCAATCTAACTTGCTTTTGTTTAACATACGTCTGAAACACACTCTCCTCCTTCAAATGCTGGATGCCCACAGAGCCCTGCAAAGCTGGTTTTGTCTGCATTTCATAGACATGGAAACTGAGGCTCAGAATGTGCCTGAGGTCACAAAGCCAGCATGCACCTAAACCTCAAACTTGGGTCTGGCCAGTTATAGGCTCAGGCTATTTCTATGACTTCTTGGTTCACCCAATCAATAAACCCTTGAGTGACTACCATATACCAGGCACCGTTCCTGTCTTAGAACCATGGGATGTCAGAATAGCCCATCGGCTAAGACCCCAGGTTCCCGGAAAACCTGAGCAGCAATTGTGTTATTAACTGACCTGTCCTCAAGCCTCAGCTCTAAGAGGATCATCCAGCCCACCAAGATAGGCCTGCCTTTCCTATGCCACCTCCCTTCCCTGATCCAAGAAACAAATCAAAGAGCCATCCACCTTATCTTTAAGAGAGCTTCTCAGTTCCTTGGAGCTTGGGGCTGGGTCTTAGGAGGGACACACAGCATTCCTGAGAATGCACAGGATTCCACGGCCTGCCCTCCCTTGACCCGAGATAACCAGCTCCCAGGGCCTGTTTGTCAGCCCACTGCCACAGGGCCCTGATTCCGGCCCTGCACACCACGGCGCATCATCGCAGCCCCCTTTAAAAGTTGAAAGCCTAGGCTTCTGACTGAATGGGAGACTATTTCATGAACGTTTTCTCTACACCATATACAATGCTAATGGGAAGGGCTCCTGAAACACTGCTGTCTAGCAGGGATCCACGTGACCTCAGCAGAGGTCAACTCAACCACGCCAAGTCTCCGAGTGGACTTCTGCCAGGGAATGTGCTCGAGTGCTGTTTTCCCTGAGTCCCTCAATCACTTCTTCCTTCCTCCTAAAATCCAATCAGGCAGAGGGGCTCTAGGGTAGTGACACTCAACAGGGGCACGATTTTACCCTCCAGGGACATTTGGCATATCTGGAGACAGTTTTGGTTGTCACCACGTTTTGGCTGGGAGGCGGGGAGCTGTTGGCATCTGTAGAGACCAGGGATGCTCCTGAACATTTTATAATACACAGGGCAGCCCCGCACAGCAAAGACTGATCTGGCCCCGATGTCCATAGTGCTGAGGCCGAGAAACCCCGCTCTGGGGGAATCAGCCTGGCCTGAGGATGACTCCTCCAAAAAGGCCTGTCACAAGACAGGTGCTGGATTGACATTTTGGCACTTGCCAAAGTAGGTGAGGCTCTGGGCTCTCTCAGCTCATGACACCGACCCCAGGCGCCTCTGCCGTAGCACCTGCCTTCTAGCACCTATTAACTGTCTACTGAACGGAAGGTCTAGGCATCACCCCCGAATTCTCCCCCATGAGTGATCAGAGCCACACTCCCAAGGTTCCAATCCTGCCCATGCCACTTAGCAACTGTCTGAACTCCTCCCCAAACCCGAGCTTCTCACTTGGGAAATAGGAACAACAGGGCCTCTCCCAGCCAGTGGGTGTGAGGGTTAAATTTGAGAATGGCTGTAAGGTACTCAGAGTACTGCCCGACACAAAAGCAGGAACTCAGTGACCATTTGTGGTATCCTTGTGAAATAGAGCTGTCTATGCTCCTCCCATTAAACCAAGAGCTCCCCAGAAGGGAAGAGCCGGGGGTAACATCACAGTATACTGCTAACACCACAACTCTGGCCTGCAAACAGTTCATACAGGCCTCCCGCAAGGGGAAGTGGGGAGAAGGGGAGGCCTGAGGACTTCCAGACCCCGGCTGGCTGGCCTCTGCGGGCCTCTGAAAGGCTCGGACAATGGACTCCAAGGCCTCCCCTCTGCCTGCCGCTCCCCCTGCTTGTGCTCTCTCTCTCTCTGTCAAATAAATAAAAATAAAATCTTAAAAACAAAACAAAACCAAAAACCTCATCTACTAGACAGGGATAAATACCTGCTTCACAGAGTTGTGGTGAGGATTACGTAAGTTTAACGGGTGCAGATAGGCTGTCACATTTGGTCGTCCGAGTCGAGCTCACCCAGGAGGCTCTGGGCTCCCTGGTGCAGACTCGTTTATTAAATCTGTCTGCTGGAGGCGAAGGGTCTCGTACTGACAGAATAGGTCTACTGCGAGGAGCTTTCCAACCACTGAGGTGGAGGGGCGCTGGAGGGGCAGAGGGTGCCTTTTCCCAATATGCACAAGGGCGATCCACGGGCTTAGCGGGGGCCTGCTGTGATAGGTGTTCCATGGAGGCAGCTAGAAGCAGAGTGCCATATTCTCAGCTCACCTTCTCCAACTCCTGCAGGAACACCTGAGCGATCCAGGAGGCCCTCTCGAAGCAGGTGATCACTTCCTCCTCCCTCTCAGTCAGGCGGTGACGGGAAGCGATGGAGTTGGGCAGGCGTTCCAGGGAGAGGCCTGCGGGAGGAGGACAGCACCTCAGACCTGCCCTGCCCTGGCCCCCTCCCCGACCCCAGGCCCTGCTCACGGGCCCAGGGGTGGGCTCACCTGGGGAAACCCGGGTTCAGGGGCAGCCAGTGGGGGGCGAGGTCGGCGGCAGGGAAGGAGGAAGCTAAAGCGGTGTTATTGGTGGTGGCTGGGGTCAAGCTGAGGGCTGACAGCGGGCACCCCCAAGCCCCGCACGGAACCACATCGTGGCACCCCCACGTCCAACTCCTGCCCACCCTCCCAGGCCAGCTCTTACAGGAACCATTCCTGACCCTCCTTCCAAGTCGCTGGCCGGAGACACCCGCTGCCCGGGCCCTCGCCGTATCTACGCCGTACTGCGGGTGCTGACCACAGCTGACCCAGCTCTTCTCTCCCCCCATCACTGAAAGCCCCGCGTGGGCAAACTGTGAGCCTTTCTGCACCACCTCTGCAGGCCCTACCGTCTGCCCACGACAGAGGCTGGAGCCAGGCCACACTTCCCAGGCACCCTTCCACAGAACCAGTTTGGTCCTCGCCTAAGTCACTCACACGCGGGTCAGCCGGCAAGCAGACAGCTGCCGCCTCTACCCCCAAGGCACGCACTCTGTTATTTTTTTTTTACCACAATGAATTTTTTTTTAAATAAAATAAAGTAAAACCATTGCTCTAAAGCAAAAACAAAAAACAAAACAAAACACCCCCCCCTAAAAAACATAAACGAACCAAAGAAAGGGTCAGAAGCCAAGAAGGGAAAGCACTGTTATGCCTGTTAGCGGTGGATGCCATAAAGGAAAACAACTATATTTGCATCAGTTTTGTGTGTTTTTTTTTTAAGACAAGAAAAAGACTGAATAAATTCATGGTCATGGAGAAGAAAAGTCTAGAGTCAAGATGAGACCAGCCTGAAGAGGACAGACACTGTCTGAGCACCCTGCCCAAGGCTCTACCCCCTGAAACGTCCCAGTATATGCACCCGTTAACACCCCACCCTGTTTTGGGTCAAGTCAGTCTCAACTGTGTTTCCGTCACATATGACTAACAGACAGACCTGACTAGAGAGAGCTGTCCTGGACCGGTGCTTCCTCACGGGCAGCAGCCAGGTCTCTCTCACCTTCGTGTGCCACACGGTACTTTACATGCAACAGGTGCTTAGGATGAACTTACTGGAGAAGCTGTAGGAGTAGAACCCCCAACTCTCTGCTGCCCTGCGTCCCACGGCCAACCGATGACCGTGCCCTCAACACTTCCCTTCCCCTTCTCTGCCTCCCTCATTTTAGGCTTTACTTCTCGAGTGGATGACCACATCAGCCTCCCTGGCCTCCCTGCCTCCAGTCGTGTTCTAATGTGTCCTGCACACTGCTCCCAGGGTGATCCTTCCAGAACTCTACTGCTTCAACCCTTCAGGGGTCCCCAGTGCTACAGGGTGAGGTCCAAACTCCTGGTGCTCCATACCAGCCCCTCTAGGATTCCATCCCTGTCACCGGGCCATCCTTGGCGCTTGCCATGCGCTACAGGCTGAATGTTTGTGCCCCCAGCCTCCAGGTCCTATGTTGAAGACCTAGTGTCCAAGGTGATGGTATTAGAGGCAGGGGTCTGTGGGAGGTGATGAACAGGATTTGTAGCCTTATAAAAGAGACCCCAGAGAGCTGCCTCACCCCTTCTGCCACGTGATCACAGAGGAAGTCAGCAGCCTGCAACCCGAAAGAGGGTCCTCACCATAACCCAACCATTCTGGTGCCCTGATCTCAGACTTCCATCCTCCAGAGCTGTGAGAAGTAAACATGTTGTGTATAAGCCACCTAGTCTGTACTTTGTTATAGCAGCCTGAGCTAAGACACCACAGCTGCCGCACCCACACCCAACCTCCTGTTTCCAACTGCTGACCTTGTTCAAGTTTTTCCTCCTGCCGGGAATGCACCCCCCCCACCTAATCCCCTAGGTCCACCCCAAATCACCACTTACCTTCTGCCCCTCCAAATACTGCCTCCTCTATGGAGCCCCTCCTAATATACCCTGGTATGACCAACCCTTCCCTCCTGGGGCCCCAGTCTATGCTTGACATACTCCTGCCCCACCATTTCTTATACTTATTTCTTCGCACACTTGCCCAGTCAGACCGTATGCTTTTAAAGGCACAACCATCTCACGTTCATCTTTCTACCGATTGGGTGGGCACTCAGCAATCACTGGCCGGCTGGTGGAAGACATGGCAAGCCCGATCCTGCCTGACAGAGTGCAAAGTGCCCTGCAAACACAAGGTAAGGAATCATCGTTTTGCATGGCTAGATCCCAACTCATATGGATTTAGTGACCTTGCCCTCTGCCAGGCTGGGGTGTGAACGGGTCCAAAGGTTGGGGTGACTCGGCCCGGGCGAAGGCAGTCACAGAACGTGAAGGCCTTTGCTCAACACAAAGACTCAGTGACCAGCGTCACTGAGTGTCACCGTGCCTCCTGCCAAATGACTCATAACCAGGAGGGAAAAGCTCCTCACTCGTGAGCGCTAAACGGGGCGGAAGACTAGTGGGAGTCCTGGAGGAGACGCAGAAAGAAGGTAGAAGGCAGGCACCACTGCTCACTGCTGGTGCTGGCCCTGCCCCTCCTCCCTAGCCGCGGGGCCTGTCCACCCTGCAGGAAGATGGGACAAACCAACTGTTCAGAGGCCTGGCCTGGGAGACCAAGGGCAGACGGCGGGAGGACACAGACATTCCAGAAGCCCTACAGTGGATCTGTTTCAACACGGTCACTCTGTGGCTATGTGAGAGACAGGCTGCCTGTCTAGGCTGGGCCCAGACCTGGGACAGATGATGCCAGCCGCCTGGCCGGCTCAGGCTGCCTCCAGTGGGCTGGCCACTGCAAAGTGGTGAATTGAGTAACATCTGTCAGTGGAGCCTCCACTGTCCACCATTTCATTTGTTCCCCCTGCGCCCAGCAGGGGCCTCTCTGCCATGCTCCTCTGGAAATTCTCAGTCCCGCCCTCCTGGAAAACTCGCAGCGAAACCACCTCCTCTCTGAAGGCTTCGTAAGCCTCCTGACCTGAGAACCAGCAGCACATTTTCCCTGCATCTCCTTTGCATATGCCTTTTTCCTACCCTGGAACCATCCTCTCTGCCCATTCCTGATTGCTCTTGGCACCCAGTGAGAGCAGGGCCCTGGTGACTGGTGAGTGGATGGATGGAGCTGAATGCACCCATTCACTTATGCTGAGGAGAGAGCCCGCGGGCTTTCTCCTGCTCCACTTACAAAATGGTTTTTTGCTGAATTCATAAACAAACTGTGGCATATTTATACAATGGAACACCACTCAGACATAAACTAAAGGACAAACTCTTGATATACATACAACATGGATGAATCTCCAAGAAATCAGGTTGTGCAGAAGAAGCCAGATATCAAAAAAGTCCATGCTATAGGATTTCAGTTACATGACGTTCAAAAAAAGGCAATATAATCTGTAGCAATAGAAATGAACCAATCACCAATCATTGCCGGGGGGCTGAGGATGTGGGTAGAACGAGAACCAACTGTTAAAGGGCCTGCAGGAAACTTCTGGGGTGATGGCAATGTTCTTTGTCTTTACTGGGGTATTGGTCACATGGGTATTTACACCTGTCCAACTCACCAAATGATACACCTAAGATCGATGTACCTCACTGTATGAACATTGATCAAAAATAATGGATAGGATGCCTTCTCTGAAGGAAGCAATTGTGAGAGCAGAGAACTGAAAGATCAAAGTACAAGAGCTATGGTCACTAAGGGGGTCGGTCCTCTGTGAAATAATCTCCAATACACATACAACCAAAAAGCTTCCTGGAGCTGGCAATGGCTTTTCGTAATGAGGGTCACAGTCCAGGCATCCAGTTCTGCCCATAAAAAGGGGCTTCTTGACCTTACATTTGCTTTTTGACTCCCACAAAGGTCCATTTTCCCGTCCACAAATATCTGATGGGAAACCCACTCCAGCACTTGGGTCCCTTCACCCTCTGCCCCATGAGCGTTTCTGCACCAGTGGCCAAACCACAACACTTGATCCAAGATGAGACGGGCTGCTCCTGAGCCCGGCCCCCAAAGGACCCCCGTGGTTGTCACACAGCCCTTTGAGTGGGCAGGAAGCCAGGGGCTGCCAGGAAGCCCAGGGCACTGCCGCTCGAGTCCCACTGGCAAAGGGGCCTTTCTGTGAAAACACCCAGCTCTACAAGCCAAGGGAGGGCCCCTTTCAAGAAGAGTGCTTGCTTTTTCATTAAGTCAGAACTTTTTGGTTTGGAGGCAAGCTGATCTGGTTTAGCCCTGGGCTCAATATCCTGGCGGGTCCCTGCCTCTTCAGGCTAAGATGACTCATCACATCACAGATGGGCGTCTTTCCAAGAAGCCCCACCCTTGGAGCCCTGGGCCCTAGATGCAGAGGTGGAGAGCACAACATTTCCTCTGCAATGGAACTTTCCAGCTGGGTGGACCCCTTACTCCCTCCTATCCAGTAGGTCCAAGGGCACAAGGCACCCACAGAAGGCTAAGCCCAGACTTAGGTACCTGGGTTGAGGGGAGGGAGAGGAAGAAATGCAAGTCATTGCTTCAGCCCTCAGGGAGGAAGCCTCATGCCAGGTAGGGAAGAACCCTTATAAATCACACTCAGAAGCAGGGCACTGTGGGAACACAAAATGGTACAGCCGCTGTGGCAAACAGTGACAGTTCCTCAAAAAATTACAAACAGGGGCACCTGGGTGGCTCAGTCGTTGAGCGTCTGCCTTCCGCTCAGGTCATGATCTCAGGGTTCTGGGATCAAGCCCCGCATCGGGCTCTCTGCTCAGCGGGAAGCCTGCTTCTCCCTCTCCCACTCCCCCTGCTTGTGTTCCCTCTCTCGCTGTGTCTCTCTCTGTCAAATAAATAAATACAATCTTTAAAAAAAAAAAAAAATTACAAACAGAATTACCTTATGAGTCCAGCAACTCTGCTTCTGGGTGTAGACCCAAAAGAACTGAAAGGAGTGTCTCAA